AGAAATCCAGTCATTTATTAGGAACACCATTTCGGCAATACCCCACTGCAGTCAGATCTGATCTCATTTAAAATATGGCTGAACTTTGTTTCTGTTTCTTCCCTCTCCTCAGTCTGTGTCATAAATCACATTCTCCAACGAGGTGCACGCCTCACAAGCCTGCTGTAGTAATCTGAGATCCAACTCTAGCCAAAGGTATGCGTGGAATGCATACCCACAATCTTAGCAAAACAACCCAATTCACATCCCCTCCTCCTGCGCATCCGCCCCTTCCCAGCAACCTTATCTAGTTTTCACCCAGATGGGATTAGAGGGAAGCAGTCCTCTCACCCTTCCCTCAAGAGAGGACCTGTGAGTTCTAGTTCTACCTTAGGTATGAAAGCCGGCTGGATGTCTTTGGGCCAATCACCAGGAGATGGTGAGTTCTAGTCTCACCTTAGCCATGAAAGTCAGCTGGGTGACTTTTGGCCCATCATTGGACGACAGTGAATTCTAGTCCTGCCTTAGCCATGAAAGTCAGCTGGGTGACTTTTGGCCCATCACCGGGAGACAGTGAGTTCTAGCTCTGTTTTAGACATGAAACCCAGCTCGGTGACTTGGATCAATCACTAGGAGACTGGGAGTTCTAATCCTGCCTTAGGTATGAAATGCATCTGGGTAACTTGTAGTCCATCATCTGGAAATGGTGAATTCTAGTTTAGCCTCAGGTATGAATGCCAGTTGGATGATTTTAGCCATTCCCTCTCTCTCAACCTAACCTACATTACAGGGTCATTGTGGGGAAAATAGTAGGAGGGAGGAGTATTATGCATGTTCACTAGCTTGAGTTACTTAAAAGTAAAAAAGGCGGGTCTTAAATAATAAAATAAAAAATAATATAATAAAAATAAAATAAAATCAAGTAATGAATGTGCCCACTAAAGGAGAGAGAGATAAAAGTCTGTTAAAATATTCATGACGGAGAGACATGGGAACAAGGTCAGCCAATGAATAGGCATAGTGACAAAGTCAGCCAGCGGGAGCTAAAACAGATCAGAGGCTGTGCAAAGAATTGAAACAGAAACTTGCGCAGTTTGCTGCTCTGAGAAGTAAACTAGCAGTCTGTCTTGTCTGCAGAAATGAAAGTAGCTACTTGTGTTTGCCTGTAACTCTCCTGCCTTGTGTTTACTTGGAAGAATCACCTGTTGGTATTGTCCATTTATCCATCTATTCTTATATATATAAAGAAGTGAATGAATCCTGCTGCATCTGTTATCTGTGTGTCCATCTGGATTTGAACTTATGCAACAAACTCTGACAAAGCCTGCATTTTTAACCACTTCACTTCAAATCTCATCCTTGCTATGAGATCTCTAGCTGGCCTTTCATAAGTAACTGGATCTCATCTTAATTTCTATGTGCCCAATCTAGAACAGTCGTGCAGAAGTGAGCAGAAATTACCCATGACCTGTGCAAAGGGGAAACCCCTCTTAACAGAAAATACTTGCTGCAAAGTTGGAGAAAACCAAGGAAGACTTCACTCACCATATACATCGGGGAGCCGCAGAGAGTGGCTGCCATCATGTTGCTCTGGAGATAACGGGCGAATCCAAAGTCAGCTGCTTAAAGAAAAACAGATCATAGTTGAGCTCTCAACCGCTAATAGGGTAACAGAAGGAATGAGTTGGAAGGGACCTCGGAGGCCTTCTAGTCCAGGGGTGTTCTGACTGAGGCTTCCCAAGAGCATGAAACAAACTGCTGGTCCCGGCAAAAAACCCTTTTATTAATTGACTGTGAATTCTACTCCTTTACATCCAGCAAAGTCTTTCGAGGGAGGATTTACGGTCACAGACCTTATCTGGCTTGGAGAGCTGCCAGGCCGATCTCTGCAGAACTTGGCCAGGANGGGGGGGGAATGGGCCCGCTTTTGCTCATTTCTGCCCTCTCCAGCCCCCAGGAGCTCTCTGAAAGCCTCCAAAACGCTCTCCGCGGCCATTTTGGTGAAGGGGGCAGGGTATTGGGAGGCAAAAAATGCTGTATTCAGTGTATAAGATGCATCAGATTTTCAGCCTCTTTTTTGAGGGAAAAGGGTGCATCTTATACTCCAAAAAATACAGTAATTGTCTTGGTGTGTTATTGCTCCTGGGTGTATCACATAAAGCTAGTCACACTGCTAAAACTCTGACATTTCTTGTCCAAACTTTCCAAAGATACCAACACCTGGGAGAATCCCCACCACCGATCCCCAGCTTCCTACCTCCATCTGCATCTAGCCAACCATCTCAAGCTCAGGAGTGAACCTACATCTACAAGAACCTCAATGCCCAGAATTCCCCAACCAATGCGGTCAATGCAGGAGTTGCAACTGTCCCATCCAGAGCCAGATGCTTCCCCGCCCACAACCTACCTTTCACATTACTCAAGGAGAGGGAGCGGTCGCGGTCCACGAGCCCCAGCTTGCTGCCACTGCTGTTGTCCTTCTGGCGAGCCACCGCCACCGCGATGCCAACAGGGAGATGTCTAACTTCCACCTCTCCTTGAGATCCAATGCTCTCGCGTCCAAAAGACTTGGCACTTTCAGGCCGCTCTGGTTCCTTCTTCAGCTGCTTGCCGGCTTGGTGAGGCAGCAGCTGCTGGAGCTTGGGGGAAGGCTGTTGACCAGGGTCCAGCTTCATGTTGCCCAGGCCCCCAAAAGGACTTTTCTTGCCACCACCTTGCCGTGCCGACGCCTCCTTTGCAAAGCTGCCGCTGTACTTGATGAGGCTTTGCATGGCGGAGCCTTCGCCGTGCGAGGGAGGGTGGAGGCTCTCTGGCACGCTCCGGCCTCCCACCACGGAGGACCTCTGCAGGTTGCTGGGCTCCAGGTAGGTCTTCTTGGCGTCCTCCTCCACCCGATTGGCATGGTTGTGTTGGGCAGCTAAAACGGCCATCTGAGTGGTGGCAAAGTTGCCCATTTCAAAAGGCTTCCATTTTTGTTCCGGGGGCTTCAGCTGCTGGTTGGGATCTAAATGCTGCCGGGAGGAAGAGGACAAGGAGGAAGCAGAGGAGGAAGGAGACGAGGTGTCCAAAGTGCCATAGATCTTCACGGCTTCTTTGCAGCCGGGTCTTTGAAAACGGTCCCGCTCGCAGGAGCGATGCTCTGCCTCCAAGCCCGCTTTGGGCAAGTCCTTCAAAGGGAGGTACTCCCTGCTTTCGGGGGAGTTCAACCTCGGCCTGTTCAGGAAGTTCTCGGAAGCCGCCTGCTTCTTCAAGACCATGGAGTTGGCCCTGATGACCGAGCTTTTCTCCCGCAGGATCTCCATCCGCTTGGCGTCTGCGTGGAGGGAGAACTCCTGGGCCAAAAGGTTGCGCGAAGCCTCCGTCAGGCACCTCTCGGGGACGGCCTGCAAGACCCCCACTCGGGCAGCGGTGGGAACCTCCTTCTCCTTCAGCTTGGCATTGTCCCGGGCTTGAGAGGCAATCTGAATGGGGCCGTTCCTCTCGTCGTACCCCTCGAGGGAAGGCACGAAGGTGGGCGCGATGACCTTGTGTTCCCTCCCGGACTCCTTGGTCAAGGGGAAGATGGTGTACATGTTGGGGTGGATTGGCTGGGGAGGGAAGGCCGAGGGCGGGGGCAGCTTCCCCGGTTGAGCTGGCGAAGGACAGCTGCAGGCCACATGCAAGGCAGCCACCGAGCTCATCGCGGCGTCGACTTTCTTGATCCGGTCGGAGTAGACGTAAGGAGGAGGCCTCGCATTCTCGTCGTGTCTGCTGAGGTCCTTGGGGCAGCGGTCCAACTCGGAGCCCTGGGCGCTTCCGGTCATGTTGCAGTTGCTGAGGGAAGAGGTCTGAAGGGGGTGTTTGGACTTTGGTTCTCCGCCGAAGACCCCCCGATGGGACAAGTGTTCTTCGAGGTAGGGAGACAAGCGCTCCCCGACCTTCGCGGCCTTCTCAAATCCGTTCGTTTTCCTCTCGCTCTCGGGCTTGGTGTCCTGGGTGAGGTCCACCACGCTGTGAGGCCGGGAGTCCTCGCGCAGCTTGGCCTCCTTCTTGGCCAGGGAGAAGGAGAGGTCGCTTCGGTAAGAGCGGTCCTTCCCACCGAGGCCTTTGGGGACGTCCTTGGGGGTCCTGTGTGGGTGCCCAAAGTCCTTTTCGTGGAGGAGGGTGCTGGAGGCAGGGTTGGGGGCTGCCCTAGACGGGGTGGCCTGGGTGTGCAAAGCAGCTTGTCCCGGGTGCCCAGCAAGGTAAAATCCATCTGTAAGTCAAAGGAGGGTGTGGGGGGGAGAAGAGCAGATTGAGGTCAATTCTCTTCGGTCAAGGCAAACCCAACCGTACAAAACATATCAAGGATGACATGGGCTGACTCGGAAGCATCCCAAGTCAGTTTGAAAAGAAGGCTTTCCTACTTTATCAACCTACCAGATTTTTTTTTTTAACCTTGGGACGGATGGTTTCAATCTCTAATTTTCAGCTAATATGGCAAGCAAGCAAGGAAGGAAGGAAGGAAGGAAGGAGAGAAGAGAGACAGAGATGGAGGAAAGGAAGGAGGGAGGGGAAAGGAAGGAAGGAGAGAAGAGAGACAGAGATGGAGGAAAGGAAGGAAGGAAGAGAGACAAAGATGGAGGGAGGGAAAGAGAAGGAAGGAAGGAGAGAAGAGAGACAGAGATGGAGGAAAGGAAGGAGGGAGGGGAAAGGAAGGAAGGAGAGAAGAGAGACAGATGAAGGGAGGAAAGGAAGGAAGGAAGAGAGACAAAGATGGAGGGAGGGAAAGAGAAGGAAGGAAGGAGAGAAGAGAGACAGATGAAGGGAGGAAAGGAAGGAAGGAAGAGAGACAAAGATGGAGGGAGGGAAAGAGAAGG